CCCCAAAACCCCAAAACCCCAAAACCCCAAAACCCCAAAACCCCTTAAAGAATTCCGGCCTGGAGCGGACGATCTTTATAATAATAAAAATAAAAATGGAGACTAATTCTGGAGCTAAGACCCATACTAATGAGGAATCATCAATAAAAGCAGAACCTCACTTTGTTAGTGTCGATTCGATAGAGGAGGCCAAACCAACAACTTCAAAATTTGACACAAAGTCTGTAAAAAGTGATGATGCTGACATGAGATTTCCAAGGACACCTTCTTTTAGTGACAGGTGAAAATAGCTATGTTTTCTCTGACAAGGACGAGCTTAGCAATACTACTTATCTCCATTCATATCTAGTGAAGGGCAAAATGTTCATTGTTCCTAAATAGGTACAAGATCACCCAGACTTTAGGGCAAGGATCATATGGAATCGTCTGTAAGGCCCTCAATACAGAAACTAGAGAGCAAGTTGCGATTAAGAAAATTTTGAATCCATTTAAATTTCCAGAAAGCATCCTTAGAATTTTGAGAGAAGTAAGACTGTTAAAGTTCTTAAATCATGAGAACATTATTCAAATCAGAGATCTCTCCCCAGCAGTCTCGATGAAATCGATCGAGAGCATTTATGTGACTACAGATTACATGCCATCAGACTTGATGCAGATCATTCATAGTAGTAATCCTTTGGCTGAAGAGCAGATCGTGTTCATCCTCTTTCAGATTTTATCAGCTTTGAAATACCTTCATTCTGCGAATATCCTACACAGGGATCTGAAACCTTCGAATATTTTGATAAATGAGGACTGTGAAGTCAAGCTCTGTGATTTTGGCTTAGCAAGAGCAATCGATGAGAGCGAAAAGAACAATACAGATCTTACTATTTATGTGACCACCAGAATCTACAGAGCGCCAGAGCTACTCTTCTTAATTGGAAATTACACCCAAGCTATTGACGTATGGTCTGTTGGGTGCATTTTTGCAGAAATGCTTATTAGAAGACCCCTCTTCGCTTGCCCAGATCACATGAAAATCGCCCAAAAAATCTACGACCTCGTTGGCTCAATTGAAGAGATCAAAGGATCTGATTTTGAGAGTAGAATGTCTTATTTCCAGAGTTTTGAGAAGAAAAAGGATCCAAATCAAAGTTTTGACAATATTTTCGGTGCATTCTCAGACACTGCAAAGGACCTCCTGAGTAAAATGTTAGTCCTGGACCCGAGCAAGAGGATCACCATCGATGATGCTCTAAATCACCCATATTTTGAAGACTACAAGGAAGAAATAGAAGAGCTTGAGAATTGTGAGAAAAAGTTTAACTGTGATTTTGAGACCAGTAGCTCCGACAGTACTAAGCTAAAGCAGGAAATTGTACGGGAGATCTTCTCATTTTCCAAGAATATTGATGAAGTTACTTATAAGGCAACTACAGCTGAATATAAAGCCTTGAAAAAGGCCTCTAAGGTTCACCATTTTATATCATTCGCTAAAAAGTAACTCATTGTTAGGTTCAATTCTCAGGATAATTATAGGGGTTTTGGGGTTTTGGGGTTTTGGGGTTTTGGGG